GGGTCAGGGGAGGAGGGGTGAAAGCAGATTACCTGTAGCTCATACAGTACATATTCTTGGCCTGCAACGGAACAGCTAATTGGGACACATAGCGAATTGTTGCATCAAATGCTAAGGAAAGAAAGGTCTGATAGCAGCACAATTAACGAAGCTTCATTTCCTACATATTCATCCCCTTTCATCCTCTATCTTAACAACTGTTCAGCACCACTTCAAGCAACACTAAGTCCTGACAACTGCAGGCTGCCAATTTTCATTACAAATTTAAATAGTTCATCCCATAATACTGTTTAGAACAAATCCTGTTAGTATTGCACTTAAAACCTACCTTGGGCATAAACTTGTATTATTAATACAAGGGGGTTTTGGTTTTTTTGTTTTGCTTTGTTTTTAAACACACACCTATAGTCTAAACACAGTCATAAATCACAACATGGCTTACACCTTTATTCGTATTTCATGTTGGGAAATCAGCACAACAGTAGCTTGTCAACACAAAATGAGAGACAGGATATTGTGGCTTAAAATGCAGTAATATTAGGGATATTAGCCAACCGGGGCAAATGTAAAATTTGAAATACCTATGAATATACCTGAGAAACACCATGAATAAGGGTTGCAAATACTCTGAATATAAAAGACTACTGTAGAAATATTGAAATCCATGGAACAATCTCCAACTGCCACAAGACTTCATTTAAGTTCAACACGAGGAATACTCTCAATTTCCTTCTACATAAGAGAGTAATAAGGACATTTGGCATATACTTTTATGTTTATCTCAATTTTGTCTTCCCAACGTAGCTGATCACCAGGTAATACAAGACATGGAATAGGAAGAAGAAAAGAGCAATCAAGTTAGATAACATTCTATCTAAAAGTACTGTAACATATGCCACTGAGACTATGAATAATTATGTCAATTACTACACACCCAGAGGGTAGAAATATAATTTACACCCAACTAGAGGAACGCAATTAACATGGGTGGAGTAATCCTTCCTACCTAATCCTTTCATTAAAAATACACAATGCAGCTGGACGTAGAGTGTCAGAAAAAAAGGGGCTTGCTTTCCTGGCAGAGCAAGGAATTTGTGAAAGCTTAGTCAGCAAACTGAGGCTAAATACCATACCTGGAAAGGTTCGCAGACAATTTAAGGAAAAAGCAAGAATTTATAGTATACACACACACATCATGTACTATATGTATATACTATAGCATATAGATTACATGCTCCCTTAACATATCAGCATGCTCACTACTATTTCAGGAGACAAAGCATTTCTCCATTGACTGAATATGAATCACTAGAGATAAAAGGATAGAAATTAATTCTGCAGGTGCTTCAAAAATGACAGTAAAGAGAAAACCTCCTCTTTGAGAGTCTTCCACCAATAATTAAAGGAGGGAAAAATAGACTTTGGAACAGTACATGGGCGTATACTACAGGGGAAATAAAAGAATAAAAAAAAAAAGGAACAACTCTATGAAAGGAGAAGTCTACTCCACGCATTTTCATTGTTTCAGCTTGTTAGTTTTAACCAGTTTTTATGGGAAGAGAGACCACACCCTAACAAACTACACAGCAGCCTAGTCTGATCATTTTAAAAGGGAAATAAATGAGAACTCTTTTTTCAGAGAAAAGGTTTTAATATGACCATCTTTGGAAAGTGGTCTACAATACAGTATCATCAGTTTAAAGGAATGAAAACGTGAGTATGAAGCAGTAGTAAATGGGAGAAGCAGTTTTAGAAAAAGCAAATGTTTTTACTTTTAATAACATATTTTACAATAATCGAAACAAATGAGGCACAATTTTCTATACACCAAAGATGCTGTTAAGTTTCATTTATATTGTACAACTTAACGGAAGCTGAGTCAAGGCTACTCAGTAAGTGCTAAACCTTTTTTCCCCTAGCCCCATTCTGTGCACGTATGATCAGAGAAAAGAGATTCATAACTAGTTTAAGATATCCACTAAAGTTTGTCATCATGTAGTTTGGTCAAAGATACACAAGGGTTTGCTTCCCATGAAAGGTAGTAGTACTGAAGCTGGTTGGTAAAATACTTTAATCAAAAAAACCAAACAACTACAAAAAACCTCCCACAAAACTATTGAAAAAGAATAATTCACATTATACTGATCCACTAGTATAAATATTTCATACTGTTTTATGTTATTTTTATGTCACTTTTCCAATTTTTTTTTTTTTACTTTTTTTATAATTGTGACAATGCAGTGTCAAAATTATTTCATTACTGCACATGCAGCAGACACTGATGTAAAACTGGGCTGCAACTAATACAAAGTATCAGCTACCTTCTGTGGTTTTAAAACAAAACTTATTACAGCTATTGTAATAAAATTATAAATACAAAACGGAAAAGTAAAATATCTAGACATACTAGACAACAATTTTCCCCAAATAAAAGCATTCTAAATGTAGATTCAATGACTTCTGGTTCATGACATTTCTGAAATTGTTCTCTTCAATTTGTAACAAAACATGTAAGTGTATGAAACAAATTCTGAATTTTGACCCACATCAGTGACATAAAATATGAAAGCGTTTCCTTCCATGTAATGATGAACTGCAAAGCTGTTTTAAGCGAATGTAAGAGCATAAGGGTGAGATTAGGATATGGGCTTTCTGAGCAGCAGTGTCACACGAACTGTTACAGCACAAGCTAGGCAAGTATCTCTTGGGCTTCCTGTGCCACGCTGGCTCCACGAACATCCAGGGGTGCTCTGAGAATGCTGAGGCACCAGTGAGAGCACTGAGCCATAGTCATACTGGTACTTAAATTATATTGTATTTCCAGCTCTCCACAACTGCAAGTTCCTGTCACTGAAAGTATTTCCTTATTTTCAGATGTTCAAACATAATTATTCTTTAAATTCTGAATGAGCATGAGGTGGTGCTAGGCATCATAAATACTGTTGCTGCAGAATTTAAGACAAACATGCAATGCACCACCTCTTACCTTAAGTCTCTTAATTTTCACTGCAACACGTTCTAGTTTTTCCCCTCTGTCTTCCATACGATTATAAAATACAACCTAGTTTTCATCCCACAACAGTTCTTACCAAAAGACATCACCCTGTTCCCCTAACAGACATGGTCAAAGAAAGAACAATAAGAAAAGTGGAACTGACTTAAGGAGGAGACGCGGGACACAAGACTGGAATGCACAATCTAGATCACAGACACATGAGAAAGTAATGTCCAATAAGCAACGTTAGGGAGGTGTGTGCATTCAGTTCTTCGTGCTACAAAATTCTTCCTGCAGAGCCTCATGAAAGTCATTTCTGAAAAAGCACTTGAGGCATGTCTACGTACCACAGAGGCTATAGAGTGTCCAGCTGAGTAACGTCCATCCTTGTAGATATTCAAATTCGACTGGTTATGACCTGAGCAACCTCCAACTCTTTGAAGTTGGATCTAACTTCAAGTTCGGCCCTGCTTTGAGCAGGAAATACACGACCCGCAGAGGTTCCTTCCAACCTAAATTACACTAAGATTCTACATTGTCAAATAACTTACTTCTGTTTCACTCCCTGTCATGAGCCCCTAATTATCAATGCTGCATGGATGTTAATTCACTCCTGGGTTCTCTTTCAGATAAAATCAATAAGCTCATCAAAGGTGAAACCTGGATGAAATGCTAAAGATAATTCACTCCAATGACCTCTCTCTCACTATGGATGAGAGAAGACCGGGTTTGTCTACTTCCATGTTGCACAGTCCACACTTCTACTACACAGTTATTCTCAAATATCCCAAAAGGAACTCATACATACAACCAGAGCACACGAGATGTACCCTCAGCACCGTGCCATAAAGTCCCTGTTTTGGCAGGCTTCAATTCTTTGCTTACATTATTTCTGGCACTTTGATCTGGGAAAAACAAATATAAGGAAGACAAAAATGGTATTGATGCCTTTTTGAGGGCTCAGAAAAACCTAGCCGAATTCCTAAGTAGTGAAACAGCAGTCTGTTTCAGAGAGGGCTAAACCTGAGCAGCATGGAAGCGAGTGAGTATTTTCATCAGCAAGGTCCTGCAGACCATTACGGCTTTGCTGCTGCATGAGGTCAAAAATGCTCACCATCTCAGTAGGGATCAGTATTTAAGTGCTCATCTTACAAAAAAAAAAAAAAAAAAAGACACATTCTTAACTGAAGTTGGCAGAAAAGACAAGTTTTAACTCGCTAGAAATCTCAAACTCACTTATCTACAATCTTGAATTTGAGCTGCTAGTATGAATCAAAGTCCAAGTCGCTCTGTCTTCACTGCTACCTCTTTCTAAAATGAAGATAATAGCAGAGTTTGCAACATAGGCATTCTCTGGATCAAGAATTTTGTCCTGTGTCATCCCAGTGGCCCTAATTTTTATTTAATCTTTTTCAGTACTGCTTTCTAAAAAGGAAGTAGGTGTCACATACTAGTTAAGAACTAAGCAACTCAGATCAAGCAGGAAAAATTAAGGCCAGTTGCAATCTGAGGTACAACTAAAGCACATGTGCACATACAAGCACCATTTTGTAAAATATTTTTACTCCTAAGGTAGGATCTGGAAACTTTGGTTAAAAGCGACCCTCAGTTTTGCCCTCTAAACATAATGTTATGAGACACAGCAAATCTGAAAACAGTCACAAAAAGCATGCAAATCTGTGCACTTAGGAATCTACTCTTAAAACCAAAGTATTCAATCTCAGGGAGGGCACAATAAGTGCTATATCTAAAACAAGGAAAGATCAAATAGTTGTAAACACTTGTAAAAATTTGTAAACTTGCTGTAAAGAGATTTTTCCCAGCTCTAGAAAGCAAGCCCTAATTCATCTGGGACTTAGCCAAGACAAAAGGCCAAAATTCCTATTCGTATGAAATGAAACACTTCAGATATTTGAAAGGGCAACAGAGGTCAATCACTCAATAGACAGCACAGCAGCTCCTAACTGCAAAGAGGCTCCGATTTAATACAGATGCAGAGGAAACAATGACACTAACGGACAAGTAACCATTTTTTCCTAGCTCTGTCATAAGGAGGAAAGTGAACCTAATTTGTATCACTTAAAAAGAAAAAAAGACCACAGCTTGGGTTAACACAAGCTCTCCCTTTTGACCTTACTAAGACATTAATATATCTAACACACCTGAATTTGGATACAGGCAGACATCATTGATATCATATTCTGGCTCCATCGAAGTAAATATCTTCCCCTGAAAATGTAGGAAGAAAATATATTATAAAAAACTCCAAACAATATTATTAAATTTAGTAAATCTAAACTAAAAATAGCCATTATAGGAGCAAAGAAATATGATGGAATAAAGATGGAACAGATTCTGCAGAACAATAAAATGTTATTAAAGTATCTGAGCATAACACAAGGAACTCAATATTGTATTTTGTCTCTGATCCAGTCTCTTGTAAGGAAGTGTAGCCTACTGGTTATCGAAGACACAGCAATGTCTTCTAATTGTGGCACTTCTAATTTCTCAGCTCATACTTCTGTGTTGAAAATACGTGTGTCAGATCTGCTTTATTTTATTTTATGCAAAAGGGGGGACGAGGTCCATAAGTTCCTGGCACATCGCCAGCGTAACCCTCCTTTTGTTCAAGTCTGAATGTGGTAGTTTTAAATCATTTTATTTTGGTAAGCATCGTTAGCTGAAATGATGGATCAGGAGTGGAATTTGATTCTGGAGCTTAGTTCCTTCACCCCGCTCAAGTCTACATAAAATGAAATATAGCTCAGCACTTTGTCTATAATTTATAAACTCAGTATTAAAAGAGGCCTAAATATAAAAGTAGTAAAAGCATCCAGTGGTATCTAGCTTAGATCAGAACTGAAATTATAAAGGTTATTTAAGAAAAAGGTAAAAGCAGGAAACAACATTCTCAAAAAAAGAATAAGAACTGGAACAGAGTCTGAAAAACCCAGACAAAATACAGGTGCTCTTATAAGCCAACACACAAGACAGCCAGTAAAGGAAGAGTCTCTAAGAACTGGGCCACAGAATCTGAAGCATGAGAGTACATGCCTACACGGTTCTAAACGAGGGACAGGAACAGAGCAAATTTTGATCCTATTCCTCTTTTTTCTTTCCCTGCAGCAATCCCACCTACCTTTCTGGGCCCTTCCTTTCCCTCCCAGTTACACGCTGTTACCCCACCCACCTCTGGTCTCTCCCCGATGATTAATAAGAGTCCTCCCCCACCCCGGTCTTAGCAGACAAAAGCCTCATGCTCCCCACCCCAAGGCACGTCTCAGCATGGGGCTATTCTGGTATCAAAGCCATATGCTCTCCACCCCGCAGTCTGCCTCTGCAGTTGGTTCCCAGCCAGAGATAGTCAGGAACCAACATCTGGGAGAGGTGGAGCCAGCTGGAACATACTCTAGGAAAGAGTCCAAAGCTATCTTTGCCTTCCAGCAGTAAGAAACCCTCCCTTTTCCCACAGCAGAGGCCACCTGACAAACCCTACAGTGTTTCATTCTCAATGAGGGAAATACATATATATCTAGGAAAAATGGAGAGAGGCCACTGCAGATGTTTTAAATAATAACCAATAATTTATTTGCTCTTTTAAACAATAAAAAGTAACTGCAGAGGAGCTTACAAAAAACTGCTTGCGATCACAGAAAAAAAATAAAAGAGGCTGTTGAAAGTTCATGAAGCAGCACAACAATGGAGAAATGACTGCCTGAAATAGTCAGAAAAAAGTGCCTCTAAACTACTGTAACTGCTCGATATGTTTCATTATAAAACTAGAAAAGCATAGATGGAGCATGTTTTTTAGAAGGAATACAATGAATAAAGATAGCCCCTCAAACAGAACCAAGCTACTACCATAGTAGTATTACTATGAATCTATGGGGTAGCATATTTTGTGCAAGCTGCATTGACAGAAAGATAAGAAAAAGAACAGCATCATATAATGAAAGAAAGTCTTAAGAAACTTAGAGATTTCAACTTCACTTAGAGGTGCAAAAGGCAGGGATAGAGATGCTGCCTGTTGCAACACAATTCATTAATACAGCACAGTACACATTGTTATTTGGATCTAGGCATAGTATCTATTTCAATATCCAAATAAGTTTCTGTGAAAATAAGCAGTCCCTGATTTTAATAGGTCATAAACTAACTGATCTACCTTTGAAGTTAGCCCTTCTTTGAGCGGGGAATTGGAATGACCATGTTTCTTCTGATGAAGGCACATAACTGGATGTGTTCAAACACACTGCGAGAAATACACAAACCAGGGCAATGGCTAGGATACTACTTTTTAGGTTTAAATCCTTCTGCTGAAAGAAGCATCTTAGGCAGACATGTACAAACAGCTAAAAAAATACCTAAGACTATACCTTTATACGTGACAGGCTGCTGAATACCTTCCCAGATGTTGGTTTATTTAGTCAGACAGGACAAAATGCTATGTAAATTAGGACACATTAAAGACCCAACTTCCTACACTGAATTTCAGCTTTATTATTCAAGCTGCATGGAAAAACAAAAAAGAAGAATCAAAAAAAATCTGAATGCAGCGACATAAAAACACTTACCGTATCTTTGTTCCACATTTTTATGATTCGAGAATCTGCAGAGATAATTAAATCCAACTGACGCTGAAACTGAATTGACTTAATAGGCAGGCCATAGTGGTGATCTTTGACTATTAATGGATTACTAGACCGAAGATCATATAATAAAACCTTGAAGAATAAGAGACACATTGAACTTACAATATTGTAAGATCAAGAGGAAGTCACTCACACCAGATCTTCACTAAAGATTTAACTAAACTTAAGATTTTTTACTTAAATACATGGACAGGATTTACGTAAAAGAAGTAATTTTAAATTCTGAAAACAGATTATTAAATGAGCCCAGTTTATTCTGACAATATATTTTAACCTCAATTTTTCTAGACTGAAGCATTCTTAGAGAAAATTTAAGAATCACCATCTTTCTAAGGTCTTTTTAATTTCTATTGAAAAAATGAACCGTTTTCAAGGCTCTTAGTGTTTCTTAATTACTAATAGTTCACTTTCAGATTCTTGTGCTGTTCTTACACGATTTAAATTTTCAGACTCCCTCCCACATTCAGTGAGTATCACTTTCACTCATTGAAACACCACAGAATGTAATTTTTTATTTTAAGGGAAGTAGAGAGTACAGGCCCTGCCTTCCAGAAACCTGCATTTTTATCTCCAAAGTTTCCTATGGAACTTGAGAAGGACCTTAAATCTTTCACACGCAAAGTGTGAATACTAATAATTTTGGGGAAAAAAATATTATCAGTTTAATAAAAAAATATAATCTCCAATAAAACTTGCCTGACATGCATACTAACATTATCACAAATACAACTCTTACATACGTATCTGCTCTTGAACAAGCTACAGTTTTGTAAATCCACGAAAATACTGATGAAGGCAGAAAAAAATCCCCATACTCCACTTTACAAATATGACGGTAACAACGAATAAATGAATCTAAATGATCCCTTATGGAAAGATAAGACAGTAAAAACAATAGTTGAAAGACAATCACTTCTGCTTCGTTAGCCACCATCAAGATAAGGGACAGCATATATGTTGCATTGAGATGGTACTGACAGTCTCAAAAAGCAGCAACTTCCCCACATACTTGACTCTTAAGTCATAAGAAAACTGCAGAATTTGGAGTTACATAGTATGTAGGTTGTGATGATTTTAAGTGGTCCCTACAGTACTCTGAAGAGCAAGACCATTTGACAAAATTAATTTGCAGTTTAAGAATTATTATTACTACTCTATACATGTAATTTATGCTCTTATAAATACTTCTATTAATATATATTTACATTACAATAAGTGCACTCTATGTATGATAGACCTGGATTGGCAACTGCAAGAACAGGATCTCCTAAGAACTACTGTAGATTAAGTTAAGTCTACCTGCCCAGTAGATGTTCCAACAGCCATATTCAAAGCCCCATCAAATTTCAGTGCTGAAATGGATGGTAAACCATCTATCCTGCAAAGCACAATGCTTGTAGTTAGACATTCTTTCAATAAAGGCTGCAAATAATTTTTTCAATGTTAAAAAGAGCTAAGATAATTCATGTAAATTAATTTACAGATATCACTCAAATACTACTTCAAAAAGTTGTATTGCTTACATTCATAACTTGTGGTAGTATACAAAATTAGCCACTACTACTCAGACCAATAACTAAGAGACTCCTCTATGACTAAGAAAACCCTTTATTCACATTAGCAATGAGAAGACCACGGGCAGGTCATTTTAATGCAAAGTGGGATTTGTTTCTAACAGCAAAACTTCTGAAAAAACCCAAAAGAACACACTTTGAAAAGGTAGCCTTTACTCACTCTGTGTCTGCTGTCACACTGCTTAAGGCACAGTCCAACAGCCCAACTCGATTTCTAGTTCTAGGATCCCAGCATTCCACTTTACCCTAAAAAGTTTAGAAAATAAGTTTCAAGCTTATGCAACATGTCTGGTACTCTGAAAATGATTAAATAAAATTATGAATTAATTCATCTATGAGTAATTAATCAAATTTCCTAGGTTGATATGAGTTGTTCTAATAATGGCATACAAGCTCCACACATTTCATTTATATTTTTTAAAATTGTGATCTGAATGAAAATCATTAATGCTAAATTTCTGAAGATTAATAGGGTACACATACTAGCTAGTTTCTCCAGATGGCTATACTGTAAAGCAATATAATATTATTTTCTCTCCCATCTGCAAAATCCCAAGCATCTCAGCAACCAAGGTAGCTCAGAAATTATATCTGCGCTATGCTCTAAAAAGTAATCTTGTTTAACAGATCTATACTTAACATAGCAAATGAGATCAAATTAATTAATTAGGTTCCTGTCATGATTTCTTCTTATCCTCATGCAAACTAATATAAAAAAGAAACAAACACTACTGCCCATTTTATAAAAGGAATGCAAACATTTACCTCAACTGTCCCCATAGCAAACAAGAAGTGTACAGGATTTATGTCACAGACATTACTCTCTCTAAAACAGAAAAAGGAGCAAGTTTAATGACCTCAGAATAATTTAGCGCATGAACAACTATAAATATTTCTGTAATCACGTACACTATTGCTCAGCCTGGAAAAGCAAAAGGTGGAGGGAGGGACAGATGGCCACCTAATAGCAGCTTCCCATACTTAACAGGAGCTTACAAAGAATTTGGAGCCATCAGAGACGGTGCTGATTACTGGAAACAGGTAAGGTTCCAACTGGATGCAAGAATAATATTTTTATGCCATGCAGATAATTAAGCACTGGAACGGGTTGCCCACAGAGGCTGTGGAATTTCCATCCTTGGAGTTTTCAAGGCCCCAAGGGAAAATTCATCTGAATTCAGTGTGACCATGCCTTGAGCCAGAGGCTGGGCTCTGAGGTTCCTTCCAATCTGAATGATTCTGTGTTTCTCTGCCTATACCCACCACCTACCACCAAGCCTTTCCTTATCGCTCTGCTCCACTATATTCTTAAACAACTCGATTATGTCAAAAGGTGTTCCTGATTACTTATGTTCTGAAGCTTACATCTCCAACGTATTCTGATGAATGGCCTGTCTTCCTTTCCCTCCCCCAAGTATCCTGTTTCTCAACAGGGCACCCAGGAGCCCTGTATTTCTCCAACAATTCTTCCAAAGTACAAATACTGCTCTTTACACCGCTCACCCTGGCACCTTCCAGCTTCTTCCATTCAAAGCCCTCCACCTCTAGTCCTAGAACGCATCCAATTCCCCTGCCCTCACAACCTTCTCACAACTTAAGTCTCATCTCCCTAATTCAGATTTTACACAA